AGAGAAACATTCAGCACTGGTTTAAACAGTGCACAAAGACCTCCCTTTGCTCAGGGGTGCAAATGAAGCTAATAGAACACCTCAGTGCCAGTACAAGTACTCTTAAAGGCTCCTTCAGAGAGAGAACCTCCAAACTGGAATGGACTCCCAGAAACAGGCAGCCTCAAAGCTTTATGTTCTGCTGAGAAGAACCAGACCTAATGTACATCTTCCTAGGATGCCCCTACTTCCTCTTGGTGCTTGTCTGCTCTGTTCAGGTGTTTTCTTCTCCAAACCAGTTGGGAGAAGTTCCTTGAAACACTGAGATATTTAGTATAGACCTTTCCCCGGACACCTTCTCCTTCTAAATGCCTTATAGAGGTTTTCTAATTTGCAGCTGAATCCATTCCCTCATACCTAATCGCTTTGCTTTCAGTTTTATAACAAATACAAGTCTTGCACATACTCCTTGAATATGTCTTAGTGCTTAGGCATCCTGCTCTCCAAGTCTTCCTGAGACATTGCCCTTGCAAGAGACAGAATGCAATCAATCTTCTCCAGTCCAGGGCTGGTGCAATAACTGCTGCATTCCAGACTGTGCTGGAAAGCAACTGACACATCTTTTATCAGAGAGCTTTGGGCCAAACACAGGCTGTGTTCCTTAACCTGGGAAGCAATATCACACAGCTCAGTTGTTTACCAAGACACCTGGCAATAAGGACTAGCTGCAAAATCTTGCAGTCACCAGAAAATTTTAGCCCTTCAGCCTCGTATTTCAAGCTAATTCTTTCTGAACTCTCCTGGAAGATCCAAATTCGTCAAGGACCTTCCTGCTCTGCAGTGATAATGGCATGAACTTGGTAAATTCTGCCAGTGGTGTTAGAGCTAGCAAGAGATAGTGCAGGTTAAAGTGAAACAGGAAGGAGACAAAGAGCAAAGAGATTTATTTAAATCCTGGCTGATACTTTCAATATAATAAGATGCAAATCCAAGAGTGAGAGCAGAAGGTTCTGAAGAGTTCCATCCAAACTGTTCCCAGATACCATCAATGGAATCGATGACTCCTGCCTTTATACATCAAATGAGAAATTGGCCTATCTCCCTTACAGGAATTGTGTGATGTTCAGCATTTTAAAAGTGTCATTTCCACTTTTCCTTTCTCTTCATGCTTTTCCCAAGTTATTTAGTCTCTACAAGCCCCTAAGAACACGAGGATGTCATGCCTGGTGCAAGAAAAGGAAGTAAAATCCATCTTTAGGAAGCAAGTTATGATCTCAACCTAGAGGTCAAAGGAACAGAACTTAATGAAAAGTGATCCATGATAAGAAAATGTGATATTCAGTGGCTAAGCCTCAGACTCCAGAAAGTAATTATTTAATACAGAATTGGGCTAATATTAGAGACACATTCGGAGAAGCAGGAAAAGAAAATGGCTAATTCTTTTGGCACTCAGATCTCTACTCTTGAATCTAAAAATAATCTTCAGTTTCACATTTTGCTCAGTGTATACACGCTCAGACATGCAAATCCACTTGTGTTTTTCTCTTAGTGCACAGGCATTTTTCCACAGGAATACACATTCCTGAGGAGTCAGAAGGAAAACCTCTTTGAACAAGTGTTATTCTTAGAAGCAAAAAACCTGCAATGTACCCTTTTGTAGAGAACTGTTGATTACTGTAATTAACTTTACTTGGATCCTCTTATTTATGTTAATCATGGTAATTTTGGCTGTGGAGTCACAGGAAAAAGCTTGGTGTCTTTACCTAGCTGTTACCAGATTATAGCTGAAATAAGGTTTACATTCAGTTCCCTCTCACAGGGATTTCTTGGAACTATTCGTCATTCCTAGTAACTTTCTGTTTTCCCCTTTACTGAGAACAGAATTTAAGTGATTTATACTTCAGTTTGCACTGCCAAAGCTTCACTTGGAAGATCAGCTAGTGATCTGGGCCTTTGAAGGTGATGGCTAAATCATTCTTAGTAAGAACTGTATGCACTGTGCAGCCCCAAGCACACCAATCTTTTAGTATTCCAAGTGCAAAAATAAATAAGAATACTAAATTAGCCACAGAGCATTAAAAATTAACATAAGATTGAGACTTGCTTTAAGAACCTTTTTGGGTAAGGGACACGAGCTCCATGCAGCTAACTGCATAGACCTCCTGTTCTCTTCTTCGGTGTGGGCAGACTGTGCAGGTCCTGAGGCTCAGTTTGCAGTGCTCTGTCTGCCCTTTGTGCTGGACCAAGGAATGCCCAACGTGGCACCCACAGGACAGGCCACAGCAGCATTAGAGCACCACACACAGAGCTTACCTGGCCACCTGTCACAAGGCACTGAAACCTCTCAGTGATCTCGCATACCGCTGAGAATTCTGCAAAAGCCTCACCTCCTCCTCCCCCTTCCCATTCCCCCCAGGATGCCAGAAGGCATTTTGCTAATGACAGGCACTTACAAAAGTGGCAAGGATGTTTGTCTGGGCCACCATCAGAGCTGCGAAGAGGCACAGGGCAGAAATGAACATGCTCGTGGCACAGATCAGAGGATCAGCTTTGTTGTTTATCTTCCTTAATCTTCTTGCAACTTCTGCCCCAGCAATGACACCCAAGATTCCTGTCCCCATGGTGATGCCTCCAAATATTAGGCTGGTGACAAAGCAAAGGATTCATGTAAGACTCTACTGTGTAAAAATAAATGGCTTATACCTGTAGTTTCAGAGGAATCTTTAATGAGGAACTTGAATTTTATTCCACTTGATCTTACCCTCCGACTCCTAAATGGGTGTAATCCCAAGCCTCACTTGAAGCTGTGACTCTGTGATGGAGATACTTCCCATTTACAGAGCAGGTGTTAGGCACTCAGGCTCAAGGAGGGCCCTGCTTAGTACACTCTGGCTTGGCCATCCAGTGATTTAGAGGATACACAGTCATCTTGGTTACCCTGTGAATCAATCTACTCAGTCATCCCTAAAACACAGATGGAATAACTCTGTATCACAATCTGCTGCCTTGGAAGAGATCCTTGCACATAGGATGATACACATCTAAATTATAACCCTCTGGTTAGCACAGCTGAGATGAGTCACTTCTCTGACTATGGGAAACACCTACCACTTCCCAGAAGAGTTCAGAGAATACTGAATAGTTAACTACTGCCAGGTCCATGTAGCATTTCCTGAATGCAGAATTTCCAGTGCCACTCAGCTGTGTGTCTGCAAATGCAAATGTGTTGTTCAGGAATCACAAGTTCATATTCTGAAAGAATGTATCTGAATAGTTTAGAAGATTCAGCTTCCAAAGGCACTTACTTGTGTGCTTTTCTCTCTGTCCCAAATGAGACCCTAATGACAAAGCCTCTTGCAACAAGACCAGTGCTGCTGCTGGTTGTGTAATGCATCACAACTCTCTGGAGGCAAACAGGGACAGGACCAAGGCATTGTGAGCACAAAAGCTTTTGAGTATTTCAGAATGCTGCATGGGAAATTCTGGACATTTTCCTGAGCTTTCTCTAACTGCAAAGCAAAGTAACCAGATGGGATGTGATCTGTTCCTTGAGACTACAGAGTAGCTACTCCTTCCTTTCTTTCTGGCTGATTAGGAAGAACTCAGGGAGAATTCTCCAAGAAAAAAAAATAAAGTATTGCTATGCAAGATAACAAACTTCTAGCATATTTGTACTCTCCCTGCAAGTTCCTCAGGATTCTGATCTATCACTCACTACAGCTTGATAGTGACAGTACAGTTTGTCACTAGGCAGAGTAACTATCTTAGAGATCTGTTCAGGAGAGGCAAGTTCCAGGGTGACATTAGCTGATTGAAGCATTCATGGAATTGTGTTTAGAATATTTATGTGTTGTAAACTGCAGCTGAAATAAACTACAGTTGGGAAAAGAGAGAACAGCCAAAACTAAATCCAAGCACAGTTCAATTGACAGGGACTAGGAAATTACAGAAGCCTAGTCCAACTCCTCTGGGATCTCTCAGGGCCTGAGAATGCTCACTTACCTGTCTGATCTGTCTGAAAGTGTCTGCACAAAGACCTGAACAAAACCTTCATACTGCCTGTTTATCTGCCTTGAAAGGACAGACCTGAGTCAGCTGTGGTGCCCTTCCAGTTTGTGTTTCCAAGGAGTCTGAGTGCCACAGCCCTGATCCTTAAACAAAGCCTGCACCTGCTGAGCAGCCAGGGAGGAAAATGTCCTTACAGTATCCCTGGGCAGGTTTGGGAATGTGCAGCTCAGTTCCTCCAGCACCGTCAGCTACAGGTCTGACATAGCTGTTTATATTCTGTTTCTTTACATCCCCCTGGAATAACAGTCTAAGCTGAGCCTTATGCTGCTTCTGGCACTAGCTTCTGCCAAGGTTATTTTTAAAGCACCCTGTAAGAAGCAGTACATGAGGTTAAACTATCAGGTGCTCTGTTTCACTTCCCTGAAGATCATGTCTGCTCTGGCATCACTACTAGGGAATAATAATTCAGAAGTGGATTAGAAAACAAAGCCGAGGCTAACACCTCCTGCTTAACAAAGGAAGTCTTTAAACTGTGTCTGTGAACAGATACAATCAAACAGCTTCAACTGTTCAGTTCCCTCCTGTGCCCACCCCCAGCCACACTCCTGGGCTCACTCCCTGCCTCAGCCTCCTTTGCTAATAAGGAATGTGCCACTGGTGACATTCATGGAAGGACAATTGCATTCCCTCTTGAAGGGTTTGGGAATGACTATTCAATCCATCTGGTTACACCACCACTCAGAAACCAATTCTGAGTTGACTCAGTTATTCCATTGCAGAAAAGCAGATGAATCCTCTCAGCAGAGGACACACTCCTGGTGTGATTACTGCTTTTCCCTCTAACTGTCTTTACCTGATTCTTGGAAATCCATCATGAAGGCACAGAATGAAACCAGATTTGGGACACCTCCAGAAGAAAGGTAGGGACACTGTATGGAGGCCACTGGTAGGGAATCAGTCTCAGGACACTGAGGGCAGCCAAGAAGACTCAAGAGGAACACTGAATACAGTTTTGTGTTCTGGATAACATATTGTAAGGAAAAAAATTCTCTTCCTAGCTGGGGAAAAGTGATCTACAGAAAGTTGTGTTATGATTACTTCAAAGTCTTCTCCTGATGTAAATTCTCCTTCCCATCCTACACTTGGCACTTATTCCTGAGTCTGTATTGGTCTGGACATGCTCTGTAAGCAGAGCTGTGCTGGCAGCTACTCACAAGACCAAATGATCCTGGTTTGATGTAATGAACTAGATCAAATGCATCCAACTTTCTTCATGCTGGGAGCCACAATGGCCTGGCTAACACAGCAGGCATTTTAAAACCAGATTAACGAGAAGATAATAGGAAAGTTACCAAATCACAGGATTTAAACATACTTAAATGGGTATTTAAGTGGCTTGGGGTGCACAGTTGAGTGTCGACTGAAATCTCCTTACTAAAGCTGCTCTTTTTTTTCTTCCAAGTGTTCCTGCTTCTTTCCACATTATTAAATTAGGCTGGCAGCATCTTTCCAGTTAACCAAGTGATTGTAAACAAACAAGTGTCTCAGCATACCTGGAGCAATTTAGTGTAGCATTCACATCCCATTGCCTTCACAAGGAGTGTTCAGTCACATCCTACCTTCTGCCTTTGGGAACAAGCTGTGATTCAGCACTGTGTGGTGTTTCCACAGCTGTGTGCAGCTCACCTGTTGGATGAACTGCAGGATTTCTGGAGGCATGGTGGGACAATGCCCTGGACAATCTGAGCCCTGTACAGAAACACTGGTACCCACGTTCCCAGGGCTCCAGTGACGAAGGCAATGGCAGTCACACCCAGTGAGGACCACACAAAACTCCAGCTGAAAGTCAAAAGAAAACAAATGAGAGCATATAGAAAGAGCAGGGTGTGAGGGAAGGGGAAAGCCTACCTGCAGTACCCAGGATTGCAGGCAAAACCAATTCATTCAGACATACCATAATCAAAATTCACTCTCTTGAATATATGAACTTTGCTGAGGCTTTGTTATGTAACTCCACAATAAAGTGCTAATTAGAGCAAAGGGTATGACCTACTGACTTCACCATAAATCCTGGTCTCTTGCAGATTTTATCACCAACTTCTGCTAAAACAATTGCTGTAAATTTTTTGATAGCAGAACTGCAACAATAGAGAGTGGGCATGAAGGTAATGGCTTAGCAGCCAAATGGAAGTGCAAGTCTGAACTCCTCAGGATGGTTTTAAATTGTTTGTGCAACCAGGATAAATGAGAGCAACATCAGGGTCTTCCAAACCATGCAGATGCAGCAGCTGAAGCTCCCCTTAACTCTACCTGGGTGAATAAAAATAGACTCTCAGTCTGCACATTGAGTTTTCAGACACAAGGGGAAGCATTTTTTAAAACTGTCCAAACTTTCTCTCCTTCCTGCCCTGTTCTAGGAAAAAATTCACTTTTTGATGGTCTCTTTCTAGTTATGGTATAGGAGAAAGTCCCCTTGGAGGTCAATAGGGAGGTGTGAAATAAAACTGCTGCAAATGAGCAGGTGAACACCAGACTAGAGAATTTGTTAAGAAATGAAGCCAATTCTCCACCTTCTAAAGATAAAGGGCTCTTGGACTTGATTTAAAGTGGAACAACCCAGTTTTTGGCAGCATGACTTTGTGCTTTGGAAATCAATAGCTAAAGGAAAAAAAAAATTAAAATATTTTTACAGCATTGCTGGAACATCTTTGTAGGAAGCAACTTTGGTTACAGCCTGGTTTTTGAAATGTCAGAAAGGTTCGGTTTTGATGCAGGAAATTCATGCCTACGAACTGTGTGAGACAACAAACTGGATCCCTGCTGCACTTGTTGCTCTGGATGCAAAGAGGGTGCAGATTTAATGGGCAATTAGAAGACGAGCTCCCCGAAGACAGAGGAGGTCTCAGGCAGTCGCAGCCGCGGCTGGCGCAGGGCATCAGCGGCCTCTGCTGTTCCCAGAGCGGCCCCAGCTCCTCCTCCTGCCCCGGCGAGCGCTCCCACCAGCTGCCTGCGGAGAAACGGCAGCGAGGAACCTGCTGCACACCGTGTTTCTGCAGCGAAACGCCAGCGAGGAACCTGCTGCACACCGTGTTTCACTCCGTCCCGCGGCGCAGCAGCTCAGACCTTGATTCTGGTGTGGTTAAAAGGAAGAGCTCACAGCCAGTCGCAGCTCAGCTGCCCAAAACACATGGGCAGCTCCTTTATGAACATATTGGGGTCCTGCAGACTCTGCCCTCCCAAACAGCCTGCAGAGACTGCCTGAGAGGTGCTGATCCAACCTGCCTCGGGCACTAAGAATTCCAGATAAATTTACACCTGCAAATTATGCACTTTACCCAACCTATCTTACAGCAAGAGGGAAGGGGAACTTAGTAGAAAGTCCATCTGGTTTAAATAGGAGAACACTGTCATTGTAACTTTGTCTCCTTCTCCCTCCCCAAAATAGGAGATAGAAGCAGCAAAGAAATTTTTCACTCTTGTGTAGCAGTTCTGTAAGAGTGGAAAAAAGATTTGTTACAGTGTTTCCATCATACAAGTGTGACACAAAGGAGCAGAGCAGGATTCAATGGACGTATTTCTTATACCCAATGGTCATTCCTCAATGGACAAACCCTTGTTGCTCAAACCACTCACTTCTTGGCAAGGGATATGACATCTTGACACCAAGTAGTCTTGGCAGTTCCGTGTACACCTGGTTTCTCCTCTGCTACTCGTCTTGTGCCAGAGATGCTCAGTGCTCTGTGTGCTGCTGTCCTTCTCTGGGTCCTGTGAGGGACCAGGAGAATCAGGAGAACCAGTGCTAGACCTCCCATGCAAGGAGTTACCTGTAGATACAAGGTTGGTAAGATCAAGGACACCTGTTTTCTGATAGTAAAAACTCCACAACAATTCAGATCGTGTTAGGATCACATATTGCAGAATTGCGATATGTTCAGTGCAGAGAGACATTGCACTGACGTGACCAGAACAGAAAAGGTTGTTTTCCTGAAATCCTCAAATAACAGAAGCTGTTCCCAACAGCATTGCCGAGAACTGGTGCTACCAGTATAACGCTCATTTTACCTTCAGAGAATTGCAGATGTGTTCAGTGCAGAGAGACATTGCACTGACGTGACCAGAACAGAAAAGGTTGTTTTCCTGAAATCCTCAAATAACAGAAGCTGTTCCCAACAGCATTGCTGAGAACTGGTGCTACCAGTATAACGCTCATTTTACCTTCAGAATCCTCTGTTTGAGGTCTAGTGCAGTGACAGCCATTGCAAATATGTCCTCAGGTAAGAGGTACAGCAGCACCTGCCCTGGCTGCTGTGCAATTTCACCTACACCTGCCAGAGCTAGGCAGAAATCTGCCACTTGTCCTGAAGGAAGAGTTCTCTCCAACACCACGTTCATGACCAGTCAGACAATAGAAAGTCCTTCCATTGCTCACCAATTTTACTGCAATGCACGTGAGGAATGCAAACCCCAGTGATGGTGCTGATGTTACAGTGAGTGGCTCAGCCCCATGAGGGAAAGTGAGGGACTCACCCTGAATGCCCAGTGCCAGTCACCTGTGATTTCTGCCATGCCAGCTGCCAGGACATACCCAAGACCACTGTAAGCAAGAGAAGGGAATAATCAGTAGGCACCAATGGATTCTGGATGGCTGAAATGACATGTCCTGCCAGCTAAGGGGAGCACAGAGCAGTGTTCTGTCGTAGTTTTCAAAATGAATAAACAGAAACAACCCTCATGGTCTCGTCCTGCCAGCTAAGGAGAGCACAGAGCAGTGTTCTGTCATAGTTTTCAAAACGAATAAACAGAAACAACCCTCATGGTCTGTGCCAGACTACTTGCCAGACAGTTAAGAGTGTCTGACCTCCACAGAGCAGACTTGGGATGGTGGCAATCATGTCCCAGATTCCCCTTGGAATACATATTCTGTAGAATGACACTGCAAACCCAGATCAAACAGCCCATAAAGCAGTTTATTACTCCTTTCTGTGCTAGCCACAGGAATTATGCCCTGCAGGAATTTCTTTAATTCTAATCTGCCTTCTGGGCTCAGCCTTGGCTGCCTGCTCGAATACAGTGTGCCTCTGCACGACTTGACAAGCTTTTCTCCTCCTCTTCTTCAGACACAATGTCAATTTAACTAAAAGAGGAGAGGAAAGTGCCAGTTCTTCCTTGGGAGACATTTAATGGAGGGTTCTTGGAAAAAAAAGTCAAATAAACAAATATCTAAAAGCTTTTGTCTTCCAAACTCCAGAAATAAGTCACATATCTTCATGCATATATTTCTGTTAGAATTGATTTAATATTTTATTCAAAGCCAGAGTTTCCAGAGTTTAGATTCTCTCCGAAAATACTGGGGGGAAAAAAAGGCAAATTTTTCTTCAAGGTAAATAGAGAAATGAGCCTAATCAGCTCTATTCAAACTTGCAAAGGAAGTGACAAATCTCTTTGCAAGAGGCAATACAGATATACATCAAAATATACCTAAGGAAGGCCGAGGGTGCATTGAATTGCTGGTGTGGTCAGGCACAGTTTCCAAAGGGCAGACAATTAGCAAGAAAACCAACCTTCCCACTGGAATGAAGATATAGAAGATAGATAACACTATGGTCCTTTTTCCTTCCTCAAACAGGTCTGCAATGATGGTAGGTGCTATTGTGGAGTAACTGGCTGTGCCAATGCCAACTAGGCCTCGTGAAAGAATGAATATCCTGTAATACTGCAGGGAAAAGACATATTATCGTCCAAAAAAGTCCATGCAAGAAAGAAAGGTGACTGGTAAAGAGGTGCATTTTAGTGGATCAAATTTACCAGAGGAAATAAGAACTGCCTTTTGCCTGTGTCTGTATTCCCTCCACTCACACCTGCTCCCCTCACATCTCATTGCTGGGCTTTCTCCTTCTGCACAGTAGTGCCTTCTCAGAGTGACACCCAGAGGGAATTTCAGGATAGAGTGGATAGAGCACGTGCCCAACACACTTGCCCAGCAAGCTGCCACACTGTAAGGTCTTAAACAACAGAAATTCAGGACAAAAATAAGACCTCATCAATTGCAACAGTAATGTGTGGGCTCTCCATTGCCTAGGCTGGACTCCAGCATTCCATAAAACATTCCTGCACAGGGTGCATTTAGTCCAAGCTTGGGAAGTGAGTGCTCACTGATACCTTTTCCAAATGTGATTGTAGGACTCATAGAATCATAGCATGTTAAGGGGCTGGAATAGACCTTAGAGATCATCCAGTCCCACCCCCCTGCCCTGGGCAGGGACACCTTCCACCAGAGCAGATTGCTCAAGGCTTTATCCAGCCTGGCTTTGAGGACTCTGTCTAGTCCTGCAGGATATATGCAGATTATTTTCACAGTACCCTCTGAAAAGCACCATACCACTTCACTGAGGAAGTATGCAGATTATTTTCACAGTATTTTCCTCTAAAAAGCACCATACCACTTCACTGAGGAATGAGCTGCCTAGTGTTGCACCAGACCAGAAGAGAATCCCAGCTGCAAGGATGAGTTTTCTATTGTAGCGGTCACCAAGGAATCCGAAGATGGGAGCAGCCAGCATGTAGCACAAGGTGAAGACTGAAAATCCAAGAAGGAGCAAAGGCAATATTGGTCAAATTATTTCTATTCACCCCACAGCAAAACTCAGGTTATTTTGGGGGTAGAGGTTAAGGCAAGGCTGAGTTTGTAGAACAAGGAAGGAGTTGTTATTCGGGAAAAACTAAATGCAGATACAAATGCCTATACAGAAATAAAACATGTGAATTACTCAAGTTCTGTATTTTTTATAGAAATTCCTTCATCTGCTGTGATTCACATACTGTGGGATTTTTGAAGGACTCAACTCCAGCCTGACTTTCAGCTTTGCATTGTAGTCAGCCTGCCCACAAGTGGATGTGAGCAATACCACACACCAGGAGGAACTAGAAGAAATAAGTAACTAGGCTGTGTTTTAGGAGCAAACCACTGAGATGAAAGGCAAAGCCAGCTCTCTGAAGTGAAGAGATTTCATTACCTGTTTGCAGCAGACCTGTGTCCCCATCGCCAAGCCAGAAGTATTTCTGTATGTCTAACAGGATTCCTGCAACAGAGACAGAACTGAATGACAGCAAAGTGCCCTGCTCAGTGCCAACCCCAAACCAGGGCTGGCAACCACTGCAGCACGTTTAGCTTCTAGTTTAGATGGAAATCATTACACAGAGAATTAAAACTTCTTGGCACTACAGATAAAATTCATGACTTCTACTCTACAGGTCTTGTGGGAGTCAGTTTGCCCACTGCTGCCCACAACTGTTCTGTTCTTTTGCACCATTAGTACCTAAGCACATAAACAGTTTAGAGCTGAAAGTGAATGGACACAATGGTGGAAGAAAAGAGTCCCAAAGTTTGGCAGCTCATGGATGTTGAGACAAAAAGGTCATTGTCATCTCTATACCATGCCAAGACTGCAGATCTTCCATCTCACCTGTCTTGCATTGCTGCTTTATATTGCTGAGAATCAATTAAAAATTGCAGAAGATACTGCTCTGATTAAGTACAGCTGCACTCCAGTATTGAAAGATAGCAATTAAAAAGGACATTTCTTCTCATGCAGCCTTAGTTTTGCCAAAATAGATAAAATCATAACACCAATTAAAAAGGACATTTCTTCTCATTTTGCCAAAATAGATAAAATCATAACATGGTTAAGAGGGTGAAGCCACAACCACTGAAATGGAACAAGTTAACCACTTAGTGGAACAAGTTCTCTGCAGCAGAACAGAGCTGGGTGAGGTGAGCAAGAGGCACCTCATCTCTACAGCATGTCATCCATGTTGTGCCATACACTGCACTGACAAGCACTGTGGGGACAGCTAGTTTCAACTTAAATCCACGTTCTCCCACAGTCCCTGTGGCTGCAGCATCAATCTTCTATGTACTGATGTGACTCAAGGCATAGGTCAAGGTCCAGTCTAACAGCAGCTCCAGAGGTTTTATAGCTGTTTCTCAATGACTCTAGAATATATTTTGCATTTAGGAGTTTCCTAATAGTCTCAGAAGTTGAAGTCAGTGATTTCATTCAGACGTTTTGCATCATTAGAACAGGACAGTCAGTTGTATCTGTCCTTTCAGGCAGCCAGGGATCAACACACAGAATTCCTGTATTACAGGAGTTCAGGTTTGGAATCATGGAGTACTTAGAACAAATCACAGCTAACACAAGGCTTGAACTGAACCACAGTCTCATCTCAAACTAACTTTCACACTGAGCACCACTAAATTGTTATTCCCTCCACATAACTGCAGGAAGTGACCCAACCAGCTATTGGCAAATGGCAAAGCATTGATCAGCCCAGAACAGGGTGACAGATCAGAGGGGAAAGGTCTGCATGATCACTAGCTTTAACAAACTGAAGGCTCCATTCCAGCAGACAGCTAAGTGGAAGAGCTTGTTGGCTGTGTGAAGATTGATGCAAACTCTGTCAAAGCCTGTGAGCAAAACTGCCAGGAAACCACAACCAAGTAACTGCCATAGCTTATTTCTAAACAAACACTCACACCTCCCTTTCTTCTCTTTCCTCTTAGCTTCTGTCTAGCAATAAATCTATCGTCCACATGGACAGCCAAACTCAAAAGTTCTGATGCAAGAAATCTGCAATTCAGCTTAATTCCAGCAGATGAACAGTATATTGCTGTGGTATAAACTGCAGTTTGCAGATTTCCCCAAGGCCCAGGAGGTCACAGAACTAACTAAAAAGCAGTTTAGGCATATAATGTAATTAAAGGAGATGTTTCAAAGGCTTGGGCAGTATCACCACCTCTGCTCTTTCATTTTTCCATGTCCCTGAGGGTACCTCACTCCCAAGAGCAGTCAGCCAGTAGACAAGCAGTGCTACACAGGCCTGCTTGAAGATGTTAACCTCTTAGCACATAGAGGAGCCAAAGAATAGTTCAAAACCGGGAATGAGCCAAATGGCTGCTTGCAATTAACCCTTCCAAGGGCTCACCCTCCTCACATCCCAGTTCTTCCTTGAAGACATTTTCATCCTCTCCTGTCCCCTGTCCTTCTCCAGGGAAAGATACTTGATGACAGAACTCAGGCACAGAAGCTTCTCACTAACAGCCTTGCAGTGTCATTCAGAATTGCACTCCTACTGCACTCCTACTTGCTTCCTTCCCTCTTAGTTGTGTGGTTAAGAAGCACTCAGAATAAAAAAGCTCAAACTCCCAAACCCACTCCCCTGTCCTTTTTAAAGATCCTAACTGAATGTCTTACATTTCCAAATGGCCTAAGTAGTAAAAGCTTTGCTCTGTGTGCTGTCACTAGGTGTTCATTCAAAATGTAACAATCCATCCTTTGGGGCTTTTTCAGGGGTTTAAAACATTTCTGATCTCCAGGCTACCCAGAAGTAAAATACAGCAAGGTTACAAGACGTGTTTCCTCCTAAGCCAGATCCCTGGTAGCATGGCAGATGCTAAGGCTAAACAGAGTTTACACAGAGCACAGTTTACACAGGAGGGAAAACTCCATAGATTTCCCACCAGTTTACTAGAACCAACCCTCTGTTGTCCATGGCTAGGGGGAAAAAAAACCCAACTTAAAAATTCACATTTTGGAGGAATCTCTGTTGTCCATGGCTAGGGGGGAAAAAAAAACAACTTAAAAATTCACATTTTGGAGGAAGAATGTTACTTATTAGACAATGAATTGTGGATTTGATAGAGGATGCTGAAGGCAGTGAGTCTCTGTTCTCTTTACACAGTCATGTTACACTGCAGAAGTCACACGATCACCAACAGCTCATGAGGAAGCTAAGCCTCCCCTAAACAAACTGTCACAAAGATAACACAGTTTTTGCACATTTAATGGAGGGAATGGCATCAGTATTCTTCACATAAAGGAATGCCAGATTGAATCTACCAGATCCAAAGAAGGGCTGGTGAACTGCTGTGCAAAAGCACAGGGAAGCTCCTTACTCAATCCAGGCACAAAAATCAGTAATCTGTTCTGTATGCTAAAGGCTGTTTATAAGAGAATTTGAAATATGGTATGATTTTTATAAGCATTCTACTAACCATTGATAACTAAGTCATCATCCCTAGATCTTTCAGATTTCTAATTGGAAGTTTCATTATGCGTATGATCAACAGGCTAAAGCAGCTAAGTGAGAAAAGATCAAAAGACATGAAGGATAACCTTACTTTAGAAACATTTGTAAAGCAGAGCTGTGGAGAACTTCAATTTCTTTGTCCTTAGAAGGAGAAAATAGGCTCTCACCTGGCACAATGGACCAATCCATGAAATTTATTAAATTTGCATAGCAGAGCACAGCTACTACCAGGTAATCCCTCCTTGCTGGGCTGGTCCTTGGCACAGACACAGAGGGACATTGTGTCCTGTGTGCTGCAGCAGCTCCACGATTCTGCCTCTTGAGAAGTGGCTGGGGCTGCAGAGCTGTGCAGGGAGGTTGCATGTTTCCAGTGCACTCACCAGAGATGTGTCTCCTCAGTGCACTGAGGCACACATCAATTTGTGTTGGGGCTATGAGGAACTTCAATCACTTCTGTCATTTCCGGCCCTGAAAACCAACCACTAAAAAAATTCAGTGTTCCTCACAGGCAGAAGAACTTATAAAGAACGAAAGGTCAGTCCTGAATCTTGCAAAAGTGCTGCAGTGCTGTGCCTTGGAGACAAGGAGAAGTAAATGTGAACAAAAGCAAAGTAATCTGTTCTGCCCACAAGAAATAAAAGTGCACAACTCTGCACTGATCTCACAGAAACTGCACATGTAAAATTGATAATCATCTTTGTTAAGTTCTCAGGATCTTGCCAGAGGTAAAAATAGTCCTTCTAGTGAAGAAAGGGAAAGAACTAGAGAAGCTGGTTTGCTAGAGCAGGTACCT